CGCAGTGCCTCGAACAGATTCCAAGACCTCCCCCCCACAAAACGCTCTCCAGGATGCTATCGAGAGGCCACACGCATAGACTGTCCTTTATATGTTTCCCTGAATTTCGCTTCGCACACTCTTCGATGGACGATCGGCCCACTCGCGGTCTTGGAGGGCAAGACGGCCCAGGACGGCCTGGCTTCCGGTGGGACCTAAGACGGCCTAAGAGGGCATCTGAAAGGAGACGGCACCATAAGGCCCTGGACGGCCGAAAAGGTTCCCAAGAGGCTCCCCAAGACTGCCCCAAAGGAGCCCCAGGCAGCCCTAAGACAGTCAAGATATGCATACGAGAGATGTCACATATATCGGTCTTCTGGGCGGTGTTCGGAAAATTGCCACATGGAGTGAGAGTGCTTCGCTGGCACGGTGTCAGACTTGCCGCGAGCACCTTGACATCTGTTCGGCTTTGATGCATGAGGGCGAGTAACGACGAGGACTTGACGGTGCAGCACTGCAAAAACTGGTATCGCGCTGCCTGCGCCTAGCGCGAATAAACCATCAAAAATGCGGAGCGACGCGCTCTCGTCACGACCTGATCCACCCACGAATTCCACGCGAATTCCACGCAGAGAACTCGCTGCCACAGCTGACATGCCACCAACTCATATGCAGGCACGATGATATCACACTCTCGCTGGTCTTCGTGGGCTTCACTGCCATCGGAGGGCGCGCAGCCACTTCCTCACAAGGACAAAAGATACCGCTCGGCGCTCGCCCCCCACTTCGAGGAACGACGTCACCACACTCACGTAACATCCGCTACCGTGCCTGCACGGAGTGGGCGTGTCAGAATGCTCGTCTTGTTGCCTGAAGGCTTAGGCTTGTTGGTGCTTTCCAAAACCGATCCCCCTACTCGCACGCGCCCTTTGAACATCGGCCTCATTGAGTTTGCTCTCCTGCGCTCTTTCCAGCCTCAAGACGATCAGGATGGCCTCCAAAACGGCGTCCCCTGTAGAAGAGCCCAAAACAGCCATAACCATTGTTTGTCCCATGTTTTCTTCATGATTTAGACGTTCTCGCCTGTTCCAATGTTGCGACCGCCCAAGATGGCACACAAGAGGCCTCCAAGATAGCTTCAAGACAGCTCAAGAGGCCCCCCACAGGGCCCCAACTCTGCTCAAGAAGCTGCAAAAGGGGGCCCCAAACGGCCTCACAGAGAGACCAAGAGACCTCCGAAAGGCCCCCAAACACTCCAAAAGGCTCTGAAGACCGCCGCGAGGCCCCCAAGACGTCCTCAGAGGCCTCCAGAGGCGCCAGGAGTCCAGGAGGCCCCAAAAAAAACCCAAGTGGACTCCAAAAGACTCCGGGAGACATCCCAAGATAATTCGATAAGGTTCACGAAGCCTCTGGCCCGCGGAGGCTCCCCGATCTCTCCAAATCATGTCACGCACCCCCGATCAGGGCAGCTCCCCTGGGCATCGTTCCTGGATGGGCTGGTGGGGATCCGCGAAGCGTTCAGACTTCCAACCACTTCCTGCTTTGCTACGATATTGCACGGGCACGGTGCCTGTACGGAGTGGGTGTGGTAGACTGCTTCTCTTTTGTCTGGTACGGTTTTGTGTTTTGTAGGGCCGACCCCTCTCCCCACTCGCACACTCCGTTCGAAAATCGGCCCCCCTGGGTTTGCCACCCAACGCTCTTCTCGGCCTCAAGACGGCCAGGATGGCCTTCAATACGGCTTCCAAACACTGTCATGATGACACCAAGACGGCCCAATCTGGCCCAAGACCACTCCGGAAGCTTCCAAGACTGCCTCAAGACAGCCCAAGAGGCCTCCAAGACTGCCTAAGAGGGCTCCAAGAGGCTCTCCTGGAGAGCCTGAACAGCCAAAGCCCATGCGCACTCTTCTTTTTCAATGGTGAAATCTGATGCCTCATGGTCGCGGCCAGGGGGTGCGAGGCATGCGACGGCAGGGCTCACCGTCTATAGACGAAAAAGAGGACGAGCAGGAACATGTGCGAACTATGTAGGACAGGTCCAGGGCGGCCGTTGGTGGGAAAACTTGAGCCCCACCAGCGTCGGGATGAGGTGTGGGGCGGCAACGATACAAAGAAACAAAACAAACTCGTGCAACGCACATTCATGTTCAAAATTCTTTTTCAATGGTGAAGTCTGATACCTCATGGTCGCGACCATGGGGTGCGAGGCATGCAGCGGCAAGGTTCATCGCCCATATCTTTCGCGAGGCCGAAGCTCTCAGCGCAGCGGCACATGCCATTGTACGTGGATGGAAAAAAAACGTCGACCTTGGGATTCAACGGAATTGACGGTCTCTCTCGTCTCACAAGTTCAATAACAACTTGCAAAGCCACAGTGGCATCCGAGAAGGGTACATAGCAGCTCGAGCAATCATGGCCTTTCCTTCGAGAGCGGCATGTTTGTACCCAGGTCTGAAATAACAGCGACCATGCTTCCCGCGACATGTCAAACGGCCTTGGCGCAGGGAAGCCAGGCCCCCAAATTCGGCCACGCAACAAAAAACACTCGGGTCGTTTTTCTCCACCTTGCTCCGAAAGAACATTAATGCACGTCAGTCACCTGACATCAGGGCAGCACGCGCGAGACCACGCACGAGGTCAAAGGATTTTTTGAAGGCAAAGGGCACCCTGCACTCGCGACGCAGTCCCACCATTTTTGTTTTACAGAAAAAACAACCGCCCTCATGCGCACATTACCAACTTGCACCGCCACACCGCCTCCCTGTCTTTGGCCCGCGACGATGGAATCCCTTCCGGATGAGCGGCGCCTCCGACGGGATAGCGGCTCCGCGCGATCGAAAATGACGAGCAAGGAGGCGCCGGCATCGCCGCTTTCACCCAGCCATTCCTGAAGTGCAGCTCACTGCCGCGAGACTGAAGGTGCTGCGCGCGTTTCGGCATGGCCCTCTTCCCCGGTCGAGACACGCTGCGTCGCGCCCCGACCTCCTCGCGCAGCCGCCGACCCCGCCGCTGCCGTGAAAGACATCTAGCAGGTAGGGGGACTTCTGCGGCAGCAAGTCCCGACTCGCAGGCCCCCGAGAGAGCCCCCTCGGCGGACGAGCAGCGGCGTTGGCGCGGGGCGGCCCAGCACAGGGGCATCCTGTAGCTGCCTCGCGGCCGTCACACAATAAATCGCCTCTTGAAGACACCCCCAACTCTCGTTCAATCCCCCTGACTTCTCGCGTGTCATCGCTGAGGCCAGCGCGGCCCACCTTCCCCTCTCCTGGACCTCCACCTGCGAGCGTCGCCCCGTTGCCCGATCCAGCGACGCTCCGCCGTGCCGGCCTTGGCGGGGGACGACGTCGGCTCCGATGTTCAGAGTTGCTCGCCGGAAGATGCCCAGGAACTGGGGGTAGCTCAAGCCCTGGAGGGGCCTGGAGGAGCGCTTGTCCTTCAGAGCGCGGAAGATGTGGCTCATCCACGGACGTCGACCCGAATCGCGCGGGATCGCATCGTCTGCCTATCGCACTTTGCCCCGGGCCACTCCCGCTTCTGGAAACAGCCATGTGGCCCAGTTCTGAACTGCATGCGCGTTCGGGGCCAGGGAAGAATTGCTGGTCAGATCCAGCATTTCCCCATCAACGAAAATAGCATTCCACCATGATCAACGCCATGCGGCGCTCCCAGGCGACATAGCTCCACGGCGATGGCGGCTCAAATCGCGAACGCCAAGGGCTTCCGCGAGCGAGATGGCGACAGCTTGTTCCAACCCTTCAGGCGCCGCAACGAACGGGGCAGATGCAGTCCGCCCAGACGGCCATAGTCCGGGTGGAAGAACATCATCCCAGCCAGCAGTTTCTCCCCGCGCCAAGCCTTGACCTCCTCCAAGAGCTCGGCGTGCATGTCATCCACTGGGCCTGCGTCTAGCTCGGCCGGCGCCGGCAGCGCATCCAGAAAGCAGTGGGCCCAGTCGCAGAATGCGATCACGCGCTGGCAGTAGGTCTCGAAAGTGGCCGCGCCCGCGGAGCACCTCTCGAGATAGCTGATCCCCAGCTTCTCCTGCTCCGCGACGGCCGAGGCGCCCTCCGGGGCGTCGAGCGCCTTCCTGGCCCCGGCCTTGCCCCGAGTCTCGAGGCGCCTCCAGCAGCTGGCAGCGACGGCGGGTTCCTCCACGTCGCTTCTGTCCTCGCTCTAGCTCTCCGCCCCGCCCGCGTGGGCCTCTCGGCCCGTGGCGGCCGCGGCGGCGGCTGGAGCTTAGCGGCCATCCGCCTCCGAGAAATTCTCCACCGTTCCCGGATGCGATGCCAGCGCTGACTTCGGCATCGCCAACTGGCTGCAAGCCCGCGGCTGCGATCCAGAGCCCGCGCCCTCCGAGCTGGCAGCGCTTCCACCGACTCTCGCCGCTCCGCTCCAGCACTCAGCGCCCCCGCGCGCGCCCCCTGCTCGGATCGCTCGGCTCTGGGGACAGGGGCGCCGCAGACCTGCTCAGCGCCCGCTGCCGCTCGCCCCCGCGCTGCGCTGGCGGGCGCCGGGGGGGGCGCCGACAAGGCTTGCATCGACCTGGGGCGACAGCGTTTTCGAGCCAAGATGGGTGACGAGGGTCCTGCTGCCGTCGTGCTCAGGGTCGAATCTCCGACTGCCCTCGCCGCCAGAATCGAACTCACTGTGAATCCATCGAACGTAGAGTTTTATATCTCTGGCTAGACGCAAGGATGCGATGCGACAGACCTGAATTAGAAGAAGCCGAAGATCCCTGGACCTGAAGCGGCAAAGGCAGAGCACAACTGAAATATTGTCTCCTAGCAAGAGGGTGCGGTTTTCTTTCGCTAGCTGACAGCGCGCAGCAAGGGGCGCAGCCTTCGCGAGAGCCCGTGCCTCGAGTCTAAGGATATCATCTTCAAAAAACCATGGGTCCGCCATCACCGTGGACCAATGGGGGCACCTCGGGGAAGCTGGGGTCTGCCTCCGAACGCTCGCTATCCAGCACGCGCCGAAGCTCGGCGTCAGCTGGCGCGGCGCCCCGTCAGCGCCTTGGACCACCTGGCCCGTCTTGCTGTACATGAGGAAGCCAGCGCGCTCGAAGGCATGCTGCCGCGCCAGCCCGGCGCCGTGGCGCCGCCGCGACAGCTCAGAGATGCGGCCGACCCCAGCCACCGTCTCCGAGTCAGAGCAGGCCTCTGCGATGCCGTAGCCGCGCGGGCTCGTGTCGGATGAGTGGGCGGCCGGGGTCCAGGGCCTGGTCCAGCTCGACTCTAACATCACTCGCCGCAGGCCACAGCACCGAGCAGGCGCGGCAGCTTTGCGACACGAAGGCGTACGCAGCATGGAAAATTGGCAACACCTCGCGCCGAACCAGGGCCATGAAAGTCACATGGCCCGACGCCATCTTTAGCTGCCAGCCTGCAACCTTGCGGCGCTTCAAGAGACATCTGAAGCCCTTGGTGGGTCTGGTGGCAGACCGTCTCCCGTCCACGAAACGGCCGAGCGCGCGCCCCCCCTCGGGCAGCAGCTCAACCTCGTGGAACTTCAAGCGGTCGCCCTCGACGTCCTTCTGTGCATCCAGCAGCGCCGCCTGAACCCGCGGAACGCGTGGGCCGACGATGCCTGCATTGCCCGCGTACATGCAGTGGCCGAGGGTGGCCCCCGCGTCGGGATTGCCCATCGCCAGGGGGGGGGGCCCGCGGTCGCTTAGCCGCGAGCTGCGGCTCAGCGACGGCCGCAGGTCCAGGCGGGCTTGATTGGCCGCCTGGGCGAAGAACAACGACCGCGAGAAGCCCGCGGGGAGACTCTGGCTCACGGGCCACGCAAGCTCGCCCCGCGCCGCGGGGCGGCCGTCAAGCAGCATCTCCAATCAAGGACGCCGCTAGAGGAGGCCAGCATAAGTAGCGCCTGATCTCGCCCTCCAGCTTCATCCCGTGGAAGCAGTCGGCGACGTCGCCCGCGCCCGGCGCTGCGCGGAGCTCCGCGCGCTCGCCGCTGGCATCTCGACGCGGCCGAGCCCCTCGCCCGACAATGGCTCCACGCCAGGCGGAGGGCGGAACAGCGCGCTGCTCCGCCTGCTATCCACGATGAGGCGAAGGCGAGCCCCATCCTTCTACTCATCAAATTGAAGCCGGGATCACTCAAGGGTCGGCAGGTGACCAGGCCGATCGAAAGCTCGCGACGCGCGACCTCCCGTAGCTCTGCGGCCGCTGCAGCGGCAAAAAGATCGGCGCGACAACCAGGGGGCCTGTCGCTTTCTCGCATTTGTGCTGCCCCCCCTGGTGGTAGCAGCATCCTGGTGGCAAGCTCCTCGAGATAGAGCCTCGCCTGCGCGGGTGGCATCGTGGCCGGGCTGGGGGCGTCGACGACGCTCTCTGGCAAGCTGAACCCTGAGTGCTCACGGGGGCCAATGCCGCTCGAGCGAAGCGGAGCGTGACCCGCCTTGTCGGCGAGAAGCCTGGCGAGGGCCTCCTGCTCCGAGATGGCGTTGTCAACGTCGATCCAGCGGCGGGCCGCTGGGGAGACGCGCTGCTGCACGTCCGCCGCGATGGCCTCCATGTTGAACTGACAGACGAGTTTCGGGGGCGATCGTCCAGCTCGATGGGCTCCTCCATGCAAGTAATTCAGGCTCTCGCAGGCTGCGCTGCCGTCGCGAAGCCACCTGCGGCGCTGCCCCGCAGCAGGGCCCCCGCGCCGCTCGGCAGGTAGCTTGGCCAGCGGGGCCAATGGCAGGAAGGGCGTTCCCTGCGGCCCCAGGCTGCCCTCGGATCTGCGGGGAGAGGTCGGGGGCCCGCCCCCCGGCCCAGCGCGCCACGTGGCCGGCGGCCGAGGCCCGCGGCCCCGCCAGCCTCGCCCGCGCCCGCGGCCGCCGCCGCGGCCTCCGTCTCCAGCGTCGCCGCCTCCAGCGCCGCCCAGGGGGCCCCCGGCCGCCGGCGGCCCGCCAGCGCCCGCGGCAGCGGCCGCGGCCCGCGGGCCATCGCCAGGCGCCACGCTCGGCGCCTTGGCGCGGGCGCGAAGAGCCCCCAGCTCGCGCCCCTCTCGCTCGGGCGGCTCGCGTAGCTGCGCGGGGCCTCCAGCGCCAGGTCGAGGGGGCTCGAAGTCCCGGCAAAAAGCTTTGCCGCGCCCCATTTGGTCTGGTCGGCCTCGCGAGCGCACGCCTCTGCTCGCCGCAGGGACCTCCTCGCAATCACCTCCAGCGACGCGAGCGCCCCCACGTTTACCTGGTCGTAGGTGCCCGCCAGATATAGACACTCGATCAGCGCCTGCACCTCATGGCAGGCGCGATATCGGCGAGAGATCCCCGTCTCATCGCGCCACTCCTGGGGCCGGATCTTCGGCGCACCTCCGCGACGATGCATCGCGCGACGCACTTCCGAGCAAGCGGGCGGCCCGCAGGGGTTGGCATCGGCGAGCGCCTCGCGCGTGCTCTCCTGGACCGCCTCGCGCCGCCCCTTGAACCTCGAGCCTTTCTCATCCACGTCGATCCAGCGCGTCCCCAGGTCCTCCTAGGCCTCGCCGCCGGCGGCGGGGAGCTCCGCCTCGCCCATCGCCGCGGGCGGAGGCGCGCGCGCGCCTCCCCCTTCGCCGCCGGGAATGAAACGGCCTCCCAGGCGGGCACGGGGCGGCCCGAGGCGACCTGCTGCGATGATCTTCCCGCCTCGCCAGCCCTCGGCCTCCCCAATCGTCGCGCGCTCTATGGGCGCCCACTCGCCGTTCACCTCGTCGAGCCCGCGTCGCCCGCGCAGGATCGCCGCCGCCGAGAGCTCGACCTGGCGCCCGAAGCCCTCGCCGCCCTCCAGCGCGGCCAGCGCACAGCAGCCTGGAGGTCGCTCGCCGGGCGGCGGAGGCGGCGGCGCGCCATCGCCGATGGCGCGCGCGGGCTCTGCACCGGCAGCGCCTTCTGTCCGGGACCCGCTGCGCTTCCCGCGCGCTCGCCGTCGGACGCGAGGGGCCTCCGATTCCGTGGCCGCTGGCACTGGCAGCCGATGCCCAGCCCAATCGATGGCGTCTTGCGTCCACCAGCCCGCGGCATCCGCGCCGTTCCCCAGTGCCACTTCTCCCTGGCCGCGCCTCGCCAGGCCGATCACCTCCTCGCGCTGCAACTCGCGGTTGAACGCGACCACGTTCGTGACCCCCGGGGGATACTGTCGCCGGCTAATCCACCTCACTACAAAGCTGTAGTCCGCCAAGTCCTCTCAGTAGAGGTCGTTCCCAACGGCATGCACCATCCACGACGACAGATCGGCGGAGCTCGGCCGCAGCAGCAGACTCTCGCGCGTCCAGCCCGAGTCCTCTCGATACTGCACCAGCACACGCAGTCCCTGCGAGGCATCGTCCAGCGCCATCACGCCACGTGGATGCGCGCCTCACCGATCGGCTCGAGCGCACGCCAGACCGAGCTCCGTCGCGAAGCCAGCTCCCAGCCAGCACCACAGGCCGCAGCCGCCGCGAGCGCCGCACTGGCGCCGACCAGCACCACGGGCAGCTCCACCGTGGACGCGAGCCCGCCTGTGGCCAACCGCAGCGGCTGCGGGGCGGCCTCCTCTGGCGCCAGCGGCGCCGGGCAGTGGCACTCTGGCGCCAGTGAGGTGGTGGTCGGCCGCAGGAACGAGCTCGACGTCGAGGTCGGCTCCAGCGCGTGCCCAGGGCCGTCGCGGGTCCAGTCCTCCTCGCAAGGAGCCAGCAGACACCATGGGCGGCGAAACCTACCCAGAAGGTGATGACGGCTCCGAAAGCGCTGGCCGGCACTGCTGTTGCATACCCGCTGAAAATGTCAGCCCCAGCAGCGTCGGGATGAGGCTGCTGTGGGCCCGCAACAATACAAAAAAAACAAAGCAAACTCGTGCAACGCACAATCATTGTTTCTCAGTCGGTTGTTCAAGGTTTTTTAAGCTCTCGCCTGTTCCGAATTTGCGACCTCTCAAAATGGCCCAAGTGGCCTCCAAGATGACCCCAGAGGGCAGCACGAGGCCGCCAAGGAGGTCTCCGAGACTTCAAGTCTTTGAAAGATTTTCGACATGCTGGCTACTTCTAATTTTCTCATAGTCGAAACGGCCCAATATGCTCTAAAAGGACTCCATGACAGCCCAAGACGGCACCGAAACAGCTCAGAGGGCTCCCAGACGACCCAAACAACCACCAAGTCGGCCCAAGTGGATCCCAAAATGGCCCAAGAGGCCTCCGAGACGGCCCGAGAGGCCCGCAAAAGGCCATAAATGGGGCTCAAGAGTAGAAACTCGAGCTGGCCATGAGAGACCAACACCTCCAAAATCATACATATATATATATATATATATATATATATATATATATACACACACATTCGAACCACGCGCGCGCTTCGCGCGCGCTTAGGTTCTAGTCACTCCCGCGACCACGCTCAACACCGCCAACGCCGCCACGGCTACCACCGCCCTTTCCGCCATCACCTCGGTCACGACCATTTCTGATTCCATGTCCATTCTGGGCATGACCACCCAATCCACAACGATTGCACTGTCCACGACCACTATAACGGCCATTGGTTCAACCTCTGCCTGTACCGCCACCAATACCACTACCATTGCCACTGCCACTGCTGCGAATCCACGACCACTACCACCACGGCAAGTGCCGCCACGACCATCCTAATCGTCGGTAGGACCACAATCGGCGCACAAACTGAAGCCAACTGCAGCCATCACCACCACGACCCCTCCAGGGCTCTCCTGGGGGCGTTTTCTGGGCCCCTTGGCGCTGTCTTGGAAGCCTTTTGGGGCTCTCTTGGAGCCCTCTTGGGCCGTCTTGGGGCTCTGATGAGAGGTCTTGGGGCCCTCTTGGGCCGTCTTGGAGCTCTCTTGGGCCCCTCTTGGGGGCCTCTTGGCCGAATCAGGGATCCCGCTGCTTCTTCTCACATCCTCGTTATTCAGTGTACACTTCTCTTCGCCTATGCTCGTTTCCTCGCCCTTCCTCCCCTCGTCCTTCTGCGCACTTTTCCTGCTCAGCCTTCCCTCTTCTTCCTCCTCGTCCTGATCTGTTCTGCATCTTCCCTCCTTCCCCCTGCTCCTCCTCCCTTCCTCCTCTTCCTTCTCCCTCCCCCCCGCGTGGATCTCCGCTGGAGAAGGCTCCGGAAACTCTGGGAGGCCAGGGCCGTCTGGGGCGTTTTGGGGGCCTTTTGGGGCCTCCTTGGGACCTCTGGGGGCGGAGGGCTTGAAATGTTCGTAGGGCATCCTCTCTGGGCCCCTGCTTGGGGCCTTGGGGACCTCTTGGGCTAGCCAGGGGCCCTTCTGGGCTGTCTTGGAACCCTCTTGGGCTGTCTTCGGGCGATCCTGGCGGCCTCTCGGGCCGTGTTTGTTCCCCTGGAAGGGCAAGAGGCGAATCCCTGAAAAATATATGTTTTCCGGCGGGGACGGGGCCATTTTTGCATCTTGGGGCCCTCTTGGGAGGGCTCTTGGGGCCTTATTGGGCTGTCTCGGGGGCTCCTGGGAGCCCTCTTGGAGCCGTCGTCGGCATCTTCAAGCTAAATTTCGAAGCTCGTGCGCCCTCTTGATCTGTTTGGCGGCCTCCGGCGCCCTCGGGAGCCGTCCCAGGGGCGCCCCAGAGGCCCCGGTACCCCCATGCGCGCTCGAGGTCGCGGTCCCGAGCCCCCAGTCGTAGCTAGGCTTGATCGGCCAACTCTTGTAATGTCATTTTGGTCGCTTCCTACGTCCAGGGACTTCCTTGGAGGCCCTGCGCAAGCCTCGGAATCGTAGAGAAGGGGAAGTACGGAAACGCAGAAATCATTAATTAATTTCCTTTCAGTATTCAACGATTTGAGGCCCTCAAAGGCTTCCTGGGTTTTTGGGGGGAGGTGAGGGGGTCTGAATTGTGGTCTGTTGTGCAAGA